CGTTTTGTAGCCCCCCAAAAAACGCAACCGTTCATCTTCTTGCTTGTGGCCTCCCGGGATTGTTCGCTTGATATTCGTCGCAAAACAATGCAAAATAATCGTTCTTATATTTAATATTTCCTCCACCGGTGAGCGGCGGCGGTTGGAAGGAGGAGGGGGGTACTTTGCATGATCTGCCTGCGATTCGGAGGAGGTGAGGGAAGGGACATTTTACTTTTCATCACAACAGGAAACATTACAGAATGATATACCACCAGTCTCGTGTAGCGAGCTTCGCCGAGCTCGCTTAGAAGGACTTCGAAAGCGAAAGGTCATTTATAATTCGACTACTGGTACTTTGTTGGAGAACTAGACGGATGTTTATCCCAGTTTTAAAATAGTTCGGGTCACTGATTGACTAATGGTTTACGTTTCCGCGTATAACTGGTGTATTCAAAGGAAAATATAGTTAAAAGAGTACAATTAAAATACAACTTCTTGGTACATGTTAATGTACGTTCACTATGATGACAAAACTTATGTCCTGAAAGAAAACACTATCCCCGGCTTCTTCATCAATGACCGTATTCGACCGGCAAAGACTCAGCTGAAGACTGTACTTTCGAAAGAAAATAACTCCTTTGTAACTGCAAACGTTTATCTCAGTATTTAGAGCTTCGCTTCTCTGTTGGAGTCAGGATGGTTGGCTGTCTGTTTTTCATTCTGGAATATGTAAGTAATTTCTTGTGATGACCTGTGATCATAATGTTATTTTTCATGTTGTTGACAAGTCTGGCAGAATGTCATTATTTACCTGACATCTAGTCTCTACTGTGTGGCACGAAATTTTTGCAGACTCTAACTGTCGCGATTTTTGTGTTTTTTTCCACGATCCGCAAAAAATGAGTTCCCGCGAAACAACAGTTTCCTCAAAAATTTTTTCCTCAACAATTTATTCCACTGGCGAAATTATACATGCAAACATCACAAGTAGAATCTTGATCCCGTTTATTTAAAGCGTCTCTCTAGCTCAGAAATAAAAGTCGAGGGATATTCGTCAAGTGGTAGCGCAGTTTTCGCTCAGCTATTGCTGAAGCAATCAGCCACACTAGGACAAAATGTAATTGTAATGGAGTAAGTGAGTACCGTATTTAGCGTTTCTTAATGTTGTTTCACTTGTCGATTGGATGTAGCTAAATAAAAAAAAAAACGAAAATATTGTAATTTCAATTAAACGCGACTTCCTGAAAATCGGAAAAAATAAAGACCTAGCAAGAAAAACCAGTCCCGTAAAATACAAAAAATCGCCGATCCGCAAAATTAAACTCCCGCAAAAAGTCTGAGCCACACGGTAACCAGAGTAACTTTCTCCATGAAAATCAAATAGATTGGTGAAAAATCATTGTTCAACTAAGTTTGTTCAGGCGCCTGATAACCAAATCCAACCAATCAGATTGCTCTACTGCCGTTTAATATTTTCCATCTGTTTTACTTGGGACGATTTTAAGACTTTTTTTTTTTTTTTCATTTGTTTTGCAGACATTATATCTTTTTGTTGTCCTCTACGCTCCGTCCCTTGCCTTGGAAGCTGGTAAGACTCACTCTATAAATAAAATAAATTTAGTGCTGAACCTCGTTGAATAGCTACACACCAAAAATCTGTATTGTGGAGATGTCTGTTTCAAAGATTATACGAAATCTGGTTTGTTTGCGACAAATGGACTGTTGGTGATATATATGGGTTATTGACGAAGCGTGAGGTCAAGATGGCTGGATATTGGCCAAGTTCTTTTTTGAGTGTTTTTGGACCTAGAGGACCTCCATAAAAACACGCAGAAAAAGAACGAGGTCAATATCCAGCCATCTCCATCGAACAAGCTTGGTCAAGAAAGTATTCATTATGTGGATGAAAAACACGATTTTCTTGCGGGACACAGCGGGGAAACCCGAGCGGGCAACATAACGCCACACTTGCTCGCTCGGGTAGCCAATCACAAAGCAGGGTTCGCTTCATCTTGCCCGCTCACGGGGCTAGCCATATAATAAAGAGGTGCCCGTAAAGAGGGGTTCAACGGTAATTTAAGCACAATTAAGTAATTTATATACAGAGCTGCCTGAAGTCCCCTTGTCCCACCAGGGTGCAAACTCAAGCCTATCCCGCAGATGATTTCTGTCTGTTAATGTGTCACAATAGTGTGGAACAAAAGGGAAAATGTTTCCAGGCTAAGGTGCCTCCAGTTTTGACCCATGTGGTCATAGCAATTGCCATGGTAGAAGGCATTGCACATTTTATTGCTGCTTTTCTTTAATTTCTTATAATGTGTCATTTGCCCTTATTTCAGAGAATATCCAAACCCCTCCCACAGTAGTTTTTATGGTTTCGGAAACCCCCTTCCCCAAACATCCAGGAAATGCAGTTTAGCTTTATACTTCTCCTCAAAAACTTTCGGGTTTTGAACACTCTCCACCTCGAAATTTCCAATAGCTTAGCTTGGGGTGGGTTCGGAAATTTCCTGGAACCACATAAATTTTGTGTTCCTATAGTAAATCTCTCAGGTCTAACTAGAGGCTGATTTATTTTAAAAACATTTTATGATTTCAGTTTTACAGGCTGACTGGTCTGGTTGAGAAATTGAAATTGATACATAAATATTTTTTCCTCAGTTGCTGGAATTCCACTGTCAGCTTCTATTCTCACAACAGGAATAGTTTGTACTTTCTACACAAGCCTTGTAAGTATATGGCAAAGAAAACTTCCCATCACAAGGCAAAAACTTTCACCCGTCCGCATGTCTTATAGAGCAGATTTTTTTGGCTCGGACGAGTAAAACCCATAAAGTACTCGTCCGACCGGATCAGTAAAATTTACCGTGGCAAACATTTTCTTTTTCTCGGAGTTAATAGCCTGAATCAAGGGATTCTCTTGCCCGAATAGAATAAATTACTAAGAAATAACTTTTTGCCAACGGGTTTGTTTCTCCGTCATATGCCATACCTTTTCTACCACGCGCATTTGTTTCGGGAAATGCAGTAGGTATGTTACAGGTAAAATTCCTTGGTCTTCCTCTTAGGTGATGGCGTTCTTCCGTGCTTGTCATATTTCAATGCCAAACGTGTGGCCCTGAATGTTTACATAAGACTTAAATACGTACGTAAGTTTGAGTATGTACGTAAGAATATTTACACTAACAGGCTAATAAGACCCCCTCCACACTACGCAGGAGAAATAGTTAAATTCAGCTTTATTTCTACGGTTAGGCCTACCGGCCACACTAATCCGTCACGAAACGGAACTTCTCGTAAACGCTCTTCAACTCAGAGGAATTTGAAAACGCCGGCTTTGCGAATATTCAGAGCTGCCAAAAGACAGAGTACGGACCTTTTACGTATATACGATGGCGATAACGAAGACAGCGCCTAATATTTAAAGTATTTATGTTTTCCTTTGGGAATATTTAAGCACCACGACCCAAGCAAGGCCCCAAAAGCCCAGACCAGTTACTCGGACGTTCAATGTAGTAACCATGATAGGTCATTGCATCTCTAACATAGGAAACGTTGCTTAGCAATAATCACAGTGCCCTTCCCCATCCTAAAATATAAATGAGTACCAATGCACTGTTTAAGGCAGCAGGAGAAATTGTTCCATTATGTATCCTTTTTCTTTTTCTGCCATCAGGGTGGTCTTAAGGCTGTCATTTGGACAGATGTGTTTCAGTCCATGATAATGGTCGCTGGACTTATTGTGGTTGTGATTGTTGGCAGTATTGAAGTTGGTGGCTTTAGCGAGGTCTGGCGAATCAACAAACAATTTGACCGCCTCAATTTCTTTGAGTAAGTTTAATTAGAAAATGGATATTTATACAATAAAATTGTATATAAGTATTTGGCTTTAGCAGTCAGTGTCGAAGGGACGGTTTATACAATGTGTAACCATGACATACTGTGACAGTCGAACTCCTAATAAGCGGCTACCCTCGGGGAAATGTGAGGTGATCGCTAAATTGCCGGTAGTTAAATTTGGATATTTTAATACTTAGATCCGGCCAATTACTTTATACTGAACATAGGATCACGTTGAGACCATCATAATAAACGTGTGTTTGAATTTTTTCATCAGTCTTTAAATTCCATTTCAGACTCTTATCTGTCAACTTCTTATCCAAAACATAGCCAAACTACGTTCGTTAAATTTTGGGTGGCCACTTAGTAGGGGTAAGAACCATAGGGAACTTGCTCATGGGGACGTCCGAAAGGTGGTCTGGCCGCTTCGAGGTGGCCGGTTAATAGGCGTTTTATTTACAGTATTTTACTGACAATAATTTCGGGACTTTGATAACTGGTTGCTTAATAGAGGTTCGACTGTAATAATAAGACGGGTACGTGAAGTTCTTTGAGTGACTGTAGTTTTGATCCATTTTTCTAGCTTTAATCCTGATCCAAAGGTCCGCAATACATTTTGGACACTAACGCTCGGGGGTGCATTCACTGCCATGCCAGTCTGGACTGTCAGCCAGACAGCTGTTCAGCGTTTCCTTGCCATAAGATCATACAAGGATGCTAGAAGGTAACAAAAATTCTCTTTGTTAAGATAAATAATAAAATATTAAAGTTAGTAACTTTCACAGATTGCAATCAATCCAAAGAAATTGTAAATGCTTGAATTTCCCTGAGTAGGCTACATTCATTTCCATATTTCGGTCATTTAACATAATGTTTGGCAATCAAACATTTTATTGCGACCCTGGCCACACTTTTCAGGCCACTCCCACAACCCTTGGCATCCTCGCCATCCTGGTTACTTTTGCCGCTGTTGCCAGCATCGCCACCCTAGCAACGCTTGCCACCCTGGCAATTCTGGCCACCCTGTCCGCCCCGACCACCCTTTCCGCCCTCGCTACCCTCGCCAATCTGGCCACCCACTCACCTCCTCGCTACCCTGGCCAACCTAGCTGGCTACCGTGGCCATCCTGCCCACCCTTGCCACTCTCGCTACTCTCGCCATGCTAGTCATCCTGGTTGACCTCGCCACCCTCGCCACACTCTAAAGGAGCAGCCTCTTTAGTTGCATTGGCTGTTTCTTGGATTGTTTGTTTATTGCTTGTCTGTCTTTTTGTTTATTTCAACAGAGCGGTGTGGTTGAACGTGCCTGGGTTGATCATCATTGTCACTCTCTGCTGTTTGGATGGCCTTGTTATTTTCGCTGTTTACTCCGATTGCGATCTACGTGTTCGAGAGGTTATCACCAGCAATGACCAGGTAAATTGCTCATGAAATATTACGAAACTAATTCTCCCGTTTGTTATTTTAAATTTTGAACTGAAATTAAAACTGAAAGTTACTACCACTTAATTAGCTGGAATTTGTTTTGTGCGTCATTCGGTCTTTCTCTGTCTGAATGTTCTTCTATCGACGCTTCGTTTTCGTGGCGGCCATTTTAATCTTTTAAATACGCAGTAATCTGTTACGAAGTCTTGGGCCGAAAAATCACAGGGTCTGGATCGGGCACCAAGAGCACTCCATGGTTCTAGACCGTGTTTATCAGTTGCATGACGACTAGCAAACAAGACACGTTTCGAAAGCAGGGTCTTTTGTAATTTCATGTGACGTCCCGAAGTGTCCGTTTGCTTGCTTTTCTTACAGACTCTCCCATTTTTCGTGATCGACAAACTTGGACATCTGAAGGGACTGCCGGGAATGTTTACGGCTTGTCTTTACGCAGGAGCCCTCAGGTACCAGTAGAATAGTTTTTAGTTCCTCTTCTTTTATCCCTTTTTTAAGTAGGAAACATGTTTCATTTTACATGATTTTATGCGTGATATGGGAAATCAGTGATTTTACTCGTGAAACGACATCCTCACCGACAGATTCCTGTTTTTAGTTAGCCTGTGTAGCTGGCGGGATTTTGCAAGGGACTGATTTATTTTGGCAACAGGAAATCCCGCCAGCAACTCATTACAAAGATGAGTGTTGTTGAAGTGTGATCACCATCTGGTTAAGTACGTGCAATGACCCCCGACGACACATATAAAAAGGACGGCGGTGCTCTTCACACCTTTCAGATGTTGAAACGCTTTTAAGTACTTCTTAGAGTGCTCAGCCTCAAAAGGTCCACAGCGGGAGCTTTTACAGTACCTTTCAGGGTATTGAGCCGTAAAAATTAGACAGGAGATAATTTATTGTTTTAGAATTGGTACCTCTTACTGTTAGGGGTGAAATCAAATCAGGCCACGCCCACAAAACAGGATCTTAGTGCCCCTTAGGGGTTATTTTCAAAATGTCCCATTAGCACCCCCGTCCTTTTTATATGGGAGCCCCCGCCTCCGCCCCGGGTTAAGGACAAGTTGAATCAGTTCACAGCTAAATACGCCTAGGCAATATAATGCAGTCAA